ACTGTCCACGGAAAAGAATTAGGGAACTTGTCATTTTCTTACAACAAAACTATGGAAAAATGCAAAGTGTGGGTGTGGTGTTACTATTTGCATTGAAACAATGTAATTCGTCTTTTTTTTTTCTTTTGTTTTTTTCTTCTTTTTTTGGCTTTTCTCGACTTTTTATTTCAAAAAAGTTGTACAGTCTTTGGGGTGGGGAGGGGGGGGAAAGGAAAACAAACAAAGTCTTTTCTGTTAATATATTTGCGATTCATTCAAGGATGTGGAAAAATCCAAATAAACTACTTTTAAAAGCAGGCTCGGCCCGAAGGTGCTTTGGGATGTGGGGGGTGAGATTTGTCCCTTCAGGAGGGGTGGGAAGGGTTTGAGGACACAGCGGGGGCTGTTCCTGTCCTGGGGTACCTGGGGGTCCAAAGGGGCTCCAGGAGAGCTGGAGAGGGACTGGGGACAAGGGGTGGAGGGACAGGACACAGGGTTAGATGGGATGGTGGGCAGGCCCTGGCACAGAGAAGCTGTGGCTGCCCCTGGATCCCCGGAATTGTTGCTGCTCACCCTCACCTTCCATCCTGCAGCGACGGGAGATTCAGTAACCTGAACGAGGAGCGGGTTATTTTTATTTTCACTTTTTCCTGCCTTCTGCAGCAGCTGGAATCATTCCAGTCTTGTCCTTCCAGAGCTTCCCAGGAAGGCTCGTGTAGGAATTCCTCCTGCTGCAAACAATCACCTCGGATTAAACCTCCTACCGCTCCTTTTCCCCCGCTACATCAACCCCAATCCCGCGATTTTTGAGCGCCGAGTTTGGCTGGAAAAGCGATTCCGAACTAAACCCTTTCCCTCTGATTTTTTTTTTTTTTTTCCTCCCATGTTCCTTTTAATCCCGGACGTTTATTATTGTGCCTCCCGGTTTAAATTCTCCGGGGCCAACTTCCCGCCCGGCAGCGGGAGCCGAGTTGTTCTTCCTGTGTCCCGGTTTCAGCCTCCCCGTGTCTGCTGGAATTGGGCTGATGGAGCCGCTCGGAGCTGGACTCGTCCCTGCGCTGAACCGGAGCTTTGTTAAGCTGAGCTTTAGGTGCCTCCAGAGAAAGGCAGAGTTGATTTACGAGCTGCGATGCATCGTTCCGGGGGCTGAACCCCAGCCAGAACGGGGGTTTTCTGAGGCAGGGAACCCTCCCAGGATCAGGGTTTAAAAATCCTGTTAACACAGAAAATGAAACTTTCTCTGCTTCTTTTGCTGAGCGGTGTTTGTGGAGCACTGGGCTTGTCTGCCAGTTTGGGTCCAGCTGCTGTAGAAACCTTGGGAGATGCTCCTGGGTGAGCAGGGACAGGAGGGGACCCAGTCCCTTCCTTGGGGGCACAGCACCGGATCCCGACAGCAAAGGATGGAAGGACTTCAAAAATCCTGATGGCACCAACAAGGGAAGAGTCAGAAACACCTCCCAGATCAGAAAAAAAAATAAAATAAACAAAACCACTTTCAAAGGTCAATTCCATCAAAACTCCCCCAGAGAATCGCATCCAGAAAGAAGCCACACATCCCTTTCTGACATTCTTTCCTCAGTTAGAAATCTCCTGTTCCCAAATCCAGCAGTTCATGTGTGGAACAGCAGGAATTCTTTGTTGCCAGGACGTTTGGAAAGCTTAGGGAGACAAGAGGATTAGCTGCTGCTTTCTGCCTCTTTTGGATTCTCCTGTGTCCCGACAGACTCAGAAAAGTCTCTTTTCTGGCAGGTGTTTCTCCTCAGTCCCATCGCTCTGTGGGAGCAGCTCGTCCACTCACCTGCTTTTAAACACTTTGTCACCTGCAGAATATCCTCATATTCTGGATTTTCCTGGATAACCTGGGGAAAAAACCCAAGCTGGTTGCAGCCACCTCCCCTGGAGAAGGAGGGCAAGGATGGTGGGAAAAATTCCTTTTGGCTCTAAAAGTGAAAACTCCCCCTGAAAAGACTCTATGTAAGAACAAGTGTGGTAAATCCTCTCTGCCAGTGAAGGAACTCTCCTGCCTCCCCACACTGGGTGGAGTTCCCCACGTCCAGCCAATCCCTTGGGAAGTCTCCAGGTGTGTTGTTGTCTCCCTCTCCATCACCACTGTCCTGTGGATGGACAGAGCTGGACTTTGGGGAGGTTCAGGGGCAAGAAATCAGAGCCAAAACCGGACACAGCTTGGCTTCCCAAGCAGACAAAAATGGGAATTTTCTCCTTTGGTCCATCCAGCAGAACTCTTCCCCAGCTTAGTGCTGGGGATATTTTTTTTTCCTGGGGGAGCAAGGGCTTTGAGGATCACTTATGGAAACTTATTCAGAGCATCTCAAACATCCTTCTGGTCCTTAAATAGGCCATATAAAAACAAGGGAGATTGATTTTCACACTGGTAGATAGTGACAGGATGAGGTGGAACTGTTTTAAACTGAGATAGAATTTAGATTAAATGTAACTAGGAAATTCTTCACTCCAAGTTTGGGCAGGCCCTGGCACAGGTTGCCCAGAGAAGCTCTGGCTGTCCCATCCCTGGAAGTGTCCAAGGCCAGGTTGGACAAGGCTTGGAGCAACCTGGAATAGTGGAAGGTGTCCCTGCCTGTGGCACAGGGTGGAATGAGATGGGTTTTAAGGTCCCTTTCAAGCCAACCCATCCCATGATCCTCTGATCCTCTCTCCAGCTCTCCTCTCCCAAAGGGAAACAGCCGCTCTCTTTTCATGGAAGGACCATCAGTGGGAAGGGAAGGAGCTCAGCTGCTTTTCAGCCTGCAGGACGTGCGGTTGGGCCCTTAATTTCAATTAAACCCGGCCTGTGACCGGGATAAAAACTAAAAGGCAATTTAAAAAATCAGCAGTGGAAGCGGATGAAGAGAGGACGACACCGCTGTGTCCCCACGGCCGTGGGCAGGAGGAGAAACCACTGGCAGGGTTTCCTGTGTCTGAGAGAAGAAGGTGACGCTGAGACGACCCGGAATACCCAGCGTGTGGCTCACGAGGGGGCTGCTGGTGGGTGGGGTGGGTCAGATTCCACGGGGCCCATGCATGGCACAGTCTGGGGACAGCCACGGGTGGGGGGCACATGGGGCAGGGGTCTGCTGGTGTCCCCCGCCAGGCAGTGGTGGGGACAGAACGCTGCTGTCACCCGTGGATGTCACACCCGCGGGACACCAGCCCGGTGTGACGCGTGGGACAGCGGGACACGGGCCCAGCGGGCACGGGGGACACGGGCCCTGCGTCACCCGCGGGACACGGGCCTGGTGCCACCCGCGGGACACGGGCCCGGTGCCACCCGCGGGACAGGAGCCCACGCCCCCCTCGCCCCGTGCCGGGCGCCCCAGTGTCACCCCCCTGGTCCCCCCGCAGGTCCCTCCAGCGCCGCGGGACCCTCGCCCCGCACGGGGCACGAGTGGCCTGCGGCCCGCGGGGCACCCCGCGCGTC